ATGTTGATGTAGAAGAGACATGGAGAAGAGGGGACACATGTTGATGTAGAAGAGACATGAAGAAGAGGATTTTGCATAATAGGTGAGCTTTAAAATGAACTGTCTTTCCTTTTCCTTCTCCAGCGGACCTGCTCCTAGAAAACTTCAGCAACTACCGCTTCCTTAACAACGGGAACATCACGATCCCCGGGCAGCAGGACAAAGACAACTTCCAGGAGACTCTGGACGCCATGCACATCATGAGCTTCTCCCACGAAGAGATCGTCAGTGAGTAGTGCTTCCAGATGTGTTTCCAGTAATTTATTATTCTCTTTTTCTTCCCTCTGTCATTACCTAATGTCCCCCTCCTCACTGAAGTGTTGTCTTTTCCTCACAGGTTTGTTGAAGGTGGTCTCTGCCGTGCTGCAGTTTGGAAACATCATCTTCAAGAAAGAGAGGAACACAGATCAGGCCTCCATGCCCGAAAACACAGGTAAACAGTTAAAGAGAACACACACACACATACACACACACACACACACACACACACACACACACACACACACACACACACACACACACACCATGTATACATCACTTCAGGGGACATTACATTGACTGACATGCATTTCCTGGAGACTTATCCTAACCTTAACCAACACATGCCCTATGATGAGCGAGTCCCCACACGTGACTGTGTAAACAGATTTAGGTCCCCACAAGTATAGTAATGCTAGGCTACACACACACACACACACACACACACACACACACACACACACACACACACACACACACACACACACACACACACACACACACACACACACACACACACACACACACACACATACACCATGTATACATCACTTCAGGGGACATTACATTGACTGACATGCATTTCCTGGAGACTTATCCTAACCTTAACCATAACCAACACATGCCTAACCCTAACCCTAAACCTTACCCTAACCCTAACCAAGTCTTCACCCTAAAATGTATGATTCTCCTTATGGGGACCCCACACGTGACTGTGTAAACAGATTTAGGGCCCCACAAGTATAGTAATGCTAGGCTACACACACACACACACACACACACACACACACACACACACACACACACACACACACACACACACACACACACACACACACACACACCGTCATATTTGTTTCGCCTGCTGCTAACACACAGTGTCCATATTTAATCTATTACGATGAAGACATTAGTTTGTAATTCAGACACCAACTGGTATATATCAGAGCTTTCCCAGCCGTAATTCTTACTTGAACTGTTGATATATCTGTTTTCTTTGTAGATTATTTTACTGTAACTAACAATAGACACAAGCATAACATCAGAAAGGCTGCAGCGCTAACTTTTAAAAATGGTTACAGCCTCATTTGCTCCTCGCTCGTGACGGTCATGATTCATAAATCCAGAAAATGGAATGACTGTGACGCTTTAGCTTCCACAACAACAGGTGGTGGAAAACAGACCATCATTTCCACACATATATATATACACACACTGTGCACATGCTGTATTAGGAACATGATAACACTGGAGTTATGAAGAGATTATAAGTCTGTATACTGGAATGGTGGTGATGTTGAACCACCATCAGGTCACACACCTCACAGTAAGGCAGAAGACATGTTTATTTGTATTTGTATGAATGCTGATTAAGCAGCGCTTCCAATATAGCTCTCCAAATCTTAACTCTACATACTTTCAGCTACAGAAACCATGTAACCACATGTTTTGGGATAGCCATGGACAACTGGAAGTGGAGTAGGACATTTTTCATCCTGCAAATTAATATGTTTTCTCCAAAAGTGTAGTTCTGCTCACCATGACACAACTCTGAAGACAGTATAAAATCCAATATCTGCTTTTTTTAATGAAATCTGGAGCCATTTAAGCGATAATTCACCTGCTTCCTGCTTCCTGTTCCCTCTCAGTGGCGCAGAAGCTGTGCCACCTGCTGGGTATGAACGTGATGGAGTTCACCAGAGCCATCCTCACCCCGAGGATCAAAGTGGGACGAGACTACGTTCAGAAAGCACAGACCAAAGAGCAGGTGAGGGGCCGTCTAAACTCTGGAGATCAAGAGGTTTCCATTACATGTTTATTTTGAACTGTCAAATGAGGTCTAGTTTTACGGCTGTTTGATATCATAGTGTAGCTGGATAGGTTTTTAAATCATCAGAATCAGAATACTTAATTTATCCCTGGAGGAAAATGGGTTCCATGACAGTTGCTCCATTTCAGAATCACAGAGGGGACACATGTGTATGTATAAAAGACAGGAAAAAGAGAAGCTACATTTTACCACAAAAAATTAAAATGTAAAAAGTTTGTATTACAAACTATGCAGTGTATTACTATGTGTCAGGGAATAATTTCGCCCTACATGTTTACCTTTCGCCCTCTGACGCATCTGACCAACCTCGAGCAGCCGTTATCTCCCTTAAGGAGGGGCTGCCCTCGCTACTTGTTGTTGTTGCCAGTTTGTGACCGGGCAGCTCTCGGTCAGAGTAGTTATTGTTGTGGGACACCTGGAACACATCCTTCTCGGGGGGTAGATGACCCAGAGCCATAAGCGACAACAAATGTGATTCAGTGTCCTCAGCTGTTTAGTCTCTCTATTGAAGAATGTTGATTATTACACTCTGAACTAAAACCTGGACCTACAGGAGGGCTCTTCAGGATTGATTGTGGCATCTCAACCGTGTGGTCAGACCGTGGCCCGTGACATGTCTTGTGAATTCTCCGGCCGAAGCTTCAAATAAACCGTCAGTGTTTGCCATGAAAGCTCCTGTCTCTGAGTCCTGACTCCATCAGAGCTCCAGCTCTCCTCGTGTCTCTCTGAGTCCTGACTCCATCAGAGCTCCAGCTCTCCTCGTGTCTCTCTGAGTCCT